GGCTCCTTGGGGCCTCCTGGGGCACTCTTCAAGCGGGAGGGTCGAATTTGGGAGTCGTGGTCTCCCTCTTGGGCGCATCCTGGGGCCGTCTTGGGGCTCTCTGGGGCGCCTCTGGGGCCGCCTGGGGGCCCTCTTGGGCCGTCTCGGGGCGCTCTTGGGGGCCTATGGAGCCGGCCTGGAACGTCGGACAGCCGAAAAGGCTGGAAGGCCAAAATCTCTCCAAAACCTCCGTACAATTGCCGATTTGGGTCTCTTGAAGCGCTCGGGAGAGGCGTCTTGAAGCGTTGTGGAGTGCCTTGGGGGGGTCTCTCGGGCCGTCTTGGGCCTATCTTGGGCGTCCAGGAGCGGTCTTTCGGCGACTCGGGGCCCGCTTGGGCCGTCTGGGGAGCCTCTGGAGGCCCTCCTGGAGTATTTTGGACCTCCCCGGCCGCCCCGTCCTCCCATGGGGGGTCGGGGCAGCTGTTTGTGGGCCCCGGGCCTGCCCCATATATATATATATATATATATATATATATATATACACACACACACACACACACACACACACACACACACACACACACACACACACATATTATATATATATATATATATATATATATATATATATACATATACATATACATACATGTACACATACACATCTTTGTGTGGACAGCCCCCCCAAGCACCCACTGATGGCACATGTTCCAATCTTCCGTTGGTCGGGCGTTCGTTTTGAATGGAGCAGTGGGGTCGCCAACTCCTTCGTTGCCCCAAACATCCTGTGGTGTTGGACCCTCGTTTTGAAGAGACACCGCCCTGCATTCCACACCGCACCTCCCGCGCTCCTCCCCCTTCTCTTTCCTCCCCCTCATTGCCTCTGTGCTCCGCATGTCTCTCTTTCGAACATCGCTTACACGCTTCGTGGCCCCATAGGAAGTTCCATCGAAGGCCACAAAGGCAAGGCTCGCATGGCGCCACCACACCCATGTCGGCACACCCCTCACACGCTTCGTGGCCCCATATGGAGCTCCCCCATTTCGGCACACCCCGCACACGCTTCGTGGCCCCATAGGGGGCTCCACCGAAGGCCCCTGTGGCAGGGTTCGCATGGCGCCACCGCACCCATGTCGGCACACCCCTCACCCGCTTCGTGGCCCCAAAGGGAGCTCCACCGAAGGCCCCAGTGGCAGGGTTCGCATGGCGCCACCGCGACCATTTCGGCACACCCCTCACACGGTTCGTGGCACCATGAGGAACTCCACCGAAGGCCACAGTGGCAGGGTTTGCATGGCGCTACCGCGCCCATTTCGGCACAACCCCTCACACGCTTCGCGACCCCAAAGGGGGCTCCACCGAAGGCCCTAGTGGGAGGGTTCGCAAGGCGCCACCGCACACATTTCGGCACGCCCCCCACATGCTTCGTGGCCCCATAGAGAGCTTCGCCGAAGGCCCCTGTGGCAGGGTTCGCATGGCGTCACCGCACCCATGTCGGCACACCCCTCACACGCTTCGTGGCCCCCTAGGGGGCTGCACCGAGGGCGGGGATCACAACTGCGGTACTCAGAATTGCATAGGGTTGGGTCCTTCGCCAGGATAATGTCCTCCTCGCCCCCCACCCTCTCCTCTCGGCTCTCTCCGCTCGTACCCCTCTTGGAGGCTGCGATGTGTGAAACTGGTCTTCATTTTCGAGAAAGTGTCTGGCGCAGCCCGCGCAGTGGAACCCCACGCAAACCCAACAAATACATCGCCATCCCTCTCGGGGCTGCGGAATGAGAAACTGTCGCCAGTTTCGACGGCTGTTGGGAGAGCCCGCGCACTGGGGCCCCACGCAGACCAAGAAAAACTCTTCACCCCTTGGGGGCCGCGAAGTGTGAAACTGTCGCCTCTTCCGAAGGCCGCTGGGGAAGCCCCCGCATTGGGGCCCAACGCAGACCCTAAAAAGACCTCGCCATCCCTCATCGGGGCTGCGAAGTGTGAAACTGTCGCCCCGCGCTGTAGGATCCCACGCAGACCCACACGGGACCTCGCCATCCCTGGGAGGCAAAGAGTCTGCAAAGAGACAAAGGAGAGAAAGAGAGAGAGAGAGAGAGAGAGAGCGAGAGACTCGAGGGAGCAACGATCCCTGTGAAATTACATGGCTTGCGAAGTAAAGGGGCGCCAAATCCTGTGAATTGAACTTGGATGTTGGGGATGCCTAGTATGAGAACCCCAGGAACCGGGTGATTTAATTTGGATGTTTGGGAGTTTTTGCTTATATATTCCACATAGAAGATCCACGTTGCAGCCCTCCAGAGCTCTGAAATCCAGAACCCCCCAAACTACCAAACATCCGAATGCCATCACAAGGTTTCTACGATGCTCATAGCAGAAATCCCAAACATCCAAGTGACATCACAGGGGTTGGCGCCCCATTACTTCGCAAACAGTGCGATTTCACGAGGATCGCTGCTCCCTCTGCTGGCATGATCCCGCCCTGGCCAGGGCGAAACCAGGCTCAATGTCTCTCCTCCCCCGGGTTGGCCCGCGGTGGCCCAAGGATGTCCCGATGGTATCCCGTGGAGGTCGATAATGAGATCGATAGTGAGATCGATTATGAGGTCGATTGGGCGACATCGATAGTGAGATCGGAAGTTATACCGATAGCGAGATACATGATGATATCTGTACACAGAAAACTAGTTAGATTGGTAGAAAGATCGATGGTGAGGTCAATTGTGAGATCAATAGATCGTGACACTGGTGAATTGAAGGAGATCGATAGTGAGATCGATAGGTAGACGGAGAGTGAGAACGCTAGTGAGATAGCTGGTGACATCGATGAGGGGACCCATTGGTAGCATGAGATGGGTGGTGAAACCAATTGATCGTGAGACTGCGCCACAAGGGTCGCTCGCCGATGTGCAAGGATGCCTTGAACCATCTGGCGTGCCACAGGGGTCGCGGACAAATAAGTGCCACCTCCAGCAATAGAGGTGGAATTTGTTTCCCTGCGACTGAGATGGTGACGCAAGCACAAATGTGAGTGCGCCATCGCGGTTGTCGTGCCGCTGGCGAGGCTCTGCCAGCTCAAGTTGCTTGTTGCACTGCTACTGTTGCCCGCTACCCGTATGCGATGCCCCGCTCATCGTGCCAGTTTCGCCGCCAGGCATCGCCACTACAACATACAGTGTCACTAGCATCGCCACCGTGTACCGACATCACGCATTGTCACCAGCATTGGCGTCGTGCGTCGTCGCCAACTCGTCATCACCAGCGTCGTCACCATCACAGCCAATGTAGTTGCCATCAATTGCCCCATCCCCCCCCAACCACCGTATCACCCGAAGCGCTGTCGGATAGGTATACACTATACATACACTTGTCCTATGCTGGCCTGAACGGGGCTCTGGTCACTTTCCCTTGATAAGAATCTTGCCTGCAAGGTTCATATAGATGTCCCTAAACACCTTCCCCGTTTCAAAGCACGCGTGCGCACTTCCGGATCAAAAATCGGTGGCCCGTGACCCGAGGTCTCCCGCATGGTCTCCTGTATGGTGTCCCGCCTGGTCCCCAGTACGGTCTCTCGTGTGGTCTCCCGTATGGTCTTCCAAATTGGATCCCGCCTGGTCTCCCCTGTGGTCGCTGTATGGTTTCCTGTATGGCTTCCGTGGTGGTTTCCCTTCTGTTCTCCGTCACAGCCACCCCTGTGATATCCCTTACGGCCTCTCTTAGAGATGGTATCCCACATGGCCTCTCTGCATAGACTCTTCAGAATACATGTCTATGCTACTCGGAACTCTCTGTTGTACGCTCTGTATGTTGTGCCCCCTTTAGTACTCTAGAAGACTGCTTGAGATCTCATGCCGCGAAGGGTGCAATTCCAAACCACCCTGTGGTGTTGGGTCCTCGTTTGAAGAGACAGCGCTCCGCGTCCTTCCTCCTCCTCCAGCTGCCCCCTCCCTCCTCACACGTTTCGTGGCCCCATTGGGGGCTAAGGCCTCCGTGGCGCAATTCGCATGTGGGCGTCACTCCAAGTTTCGAACGCCCCTCACACGTTTCGTGGCCCCATAGGGGGCTCCACAGAGTACCTCTGTGGCGCATTTCGCATGTGGGCGTTGTGCTGTTTTCGGCACACACGCACACACACGTGTCGTGGCCTTAGAACGAGCTCTTCCTAAAGCTTCCGTAGTGCAGTTCGCATGCGGGCGTCACTCTCGTCACGGCACCGTCCTCACACAGTCACTTCGTGGCCCCATAGAGGGCTCCACAGAATGCCTCCGTGGCGCAGTTCTTCTGTGGGCGTCACGCCCGTGTCGGCACACCCCTCACACGTTTCGTGGCCCCATAGGGGGGGCCCACCGAGTGCCTCTGTGGCACACACAGTTCGCATGCGGTTCCCCAGCCATTTCGGCACAGTCCTTACACGTTTCGTGGCACGCCACTCGCACGCTTCGTGGCCCCTGGGGGAGCTCAACCGAAAGCGATGGCCACAACGAGGCCCTCATAACTGCAAATTGTCGGATCGCTCGTCCGGATAATGTGTTACCATGCTGCATTTCCACGCGTCGCCTTGGGGGAAAGCTTCGCCAGTGCGCAAGTAAGTAAGGAAAGCGTTGCACTGCGTTGCATTGCATTACTTGAAGCTGCTTTGCAGTGCTATGCACTGCATTGCTCTGCATTGCTTTGCATTGCATTGCGTGCGTCGCAGTACGTTGCATTCCTGCGTATTGAGTTGTATTGCTTGGAATTGATCGGCGCTGTGTGGCTCTGCTTTGCATTGATTTACACTGCTTGGCGTTGCTGGCGTTGCTTGGCATTGCATGGCACTGCTTGGCATTGCATGGCACTGCTTGGCATTGCATCATCATGGCCGTCGTCATCGCCATCGCTACATTCGTCCACATCCTCATCCTCATCGCCATCGCCATCACCACCACCACCACCACCGTCATCACCGGACACGCTCGTCCGCCCTGCCGCCCCAGGAGCGGGGATTGCAGGGGCGCCTCCACCGCCCACGAGTCCCAGGGACAGGGCTAGCGAGGACACGAACAGCGCAGCCTGGCCGACCCCCCGTCACGGTCGGGGCGGGGAGTGAGGAGAGGAGGGACGACGAGGCGAGGAGCGAAGTGAAAAGGCGAATAGGCGAGGATAGGGCACGAAGGGCTAAGCGAGAAGGCCCCCCACACGGGCGCGAGCGAGGCGGCGAAGAGCGGGAGGAAAAAGGTCGGACGTGCCACTTGCAGCCTCGGTGTGAGAGGAGGGATGGGGAGGAAGGGGCCAGACGCGGGAGCAGCAGCAGCAGCAGCAACAGCAGCAGCAGCAGGACGGGAAGGAAGGGTCGACGTCGAGCGCGTTGTCCTTCTGGGGCCCGTCGCCAGAGCCCCCCCTGCGGGCCCCGCCGCGGGCCCCAGGAGAGAGCAGCGGCGAGTCTGCAGTACCCGTGCGCCGTCGGCTCCCACCGCGGTGCTGCGCGCCGGCGGCACGCAAGGAGCGACCCTGGGCAAGGGTTGGCCTCGGCCTCCTCCTCGTTCTCCGCCTCCCCCTCCACCTCCGCCTTTTCCTCCTCCTCCGCCTCCTCCTCCATCTGCTCCGCCTCCTCCTCCGCCTCATGCCTCTCCTCCTCCTCCTCCTCCTCCTCCCCTCCCCCTCCTCCTCCTCCTCCTCCTCCTCCTCCTCCTCCTCCTCCTCCTCCTCCTCCTCCTCCTCCCTCCTCCTCCTCCTCCTCTCCTCCTCCTCCTCCTCCTCCTCCTCCTCCTCCCTCCTCCTCCCTCTTCCTACACTCCTCCTCCTCCTCCTCCTCCTCCGCCTCCTCGTCCTCCTCCTCCTTCTCCTCCAACTCCTCCTCCTCCTCCTCTTCCTCCTCTTCCTCCTCCTCCTCCTCCTCCTCCTCCTGCGCGGCCCGCCGCCGAATGTGCAACTCGCGCTTGGGCGCCTACCCCCCCGCGCCGCCCGAAACGGAGGCGACGATAGGCCCAGGGGAAGAGCGGTACATGGATCCATGTATCCAAAGGTCTTCTGCGAAGCTCGTCGGCGGACACGTGTAATGCCCGCCCCCAGGCGATTCGCCCCCACTTCCCCGCCACCCGAACGCCGCCCACCAGAAGCCACTCGGGCAAAGGGCCACCCCGACGCGAGGCCGGAGGGGCAGTGGGAATAATTGTTTTGAGACTCGGGCTCGTTCAGAAAGGAGCGCGCCCTTGCTTCCAGGAATAGGAGGATGGATGGATGGATGGACTCGGCATTGCGCTGTGAATCTGAAGACACTCACCCCTCGAGCTCACGAAACAAGAGATCGCTCGGGGACACCTCTGAGCAGTCGTGCGATCTCCTCGGACCGAACGAGGTCAGGCGTGTGTGCGCGCCGTGCAGCTGTGATCACCTTTGATCAGAGCCGAGCAGGACAGGAAACAGGAAGGCGCCCGCGGGCGGGGGGTGATACTCCTGCGGCCCCTGGGGGCCGAACTCGACGGCGCGGAGAGCACCGAGCAGGCTCCCTGGACACCCAGAGGCCCCGAGAAGGAAACAAAAAAAAAAAAACAGGCCGAAAAAAAGAGCCGACGGCGCGCCCTAGAGACCAGGGGCGGCGAGAGCGACTAGAGGGGCCTGGTGCTACAGCGAAGCTGCTGGAGGGACTCACGTCGTCACGTAGTGTGCTGGTCGCCCATCTCTTTCCGTAGGATCCGCCACCCATGTCAGCCCTTCTGGCCGTAGTGGATCTGGCGGCTCTTGTCTAGCAGTTTCTGGGCCATCGATTCCAGGTGGCCCATAGGGGCCGTCCCCATCTTCTGGCGGCCGCCCAGAACGTCGAGGCATGTCTCCCGAGGGCCGTCTGGGTTGACGCTCTTCAGTGTGATCTGGTCCGCGCTAGCGAACTGCATCCTGGTGTACCGGTCGTTGTGGCGCGTGCGCAGCCTGAGGTGGAGCAGAGCTCCGAGCCCGTCCCCATGCAAACGAACTGCTGGTAGAAGGTACGCGGGAGCACGTGCCCCTGCGGGGCCTCCTGCTCCACGGAGGCCGACGGGTACTTGAACTCGGCGTGAGCGATGTACAAATGTGGTGAGTTGGGGCTTCGCCTCGGGGACCTGCGCCGCCTCTGCGTACATCTTGCCCGCTTCCCGAGCTGCGACGATCGAAGTAGCCGTGGGCGGGGTCACGATGCTGATCCATTCCGAGGCCGCGAGGTCCCTGAGCTGCTGGGCGCGCTGTCGCGCCATCTGGGGAAAAAACGTGACCGCCTGCTGCAGGTCGCGCGACTTCAGGGCGCCCTCCAGACGAAGCATGATCGTGTCGTAGTCCCAGGTGTGCTGCGCGTGGGCCTCGAAGATGTCGCCCGCGTAGACAGAACAGCGGTCTCGATCGTACAATACGTTGAGGCGGCGTCCCGCTCCCCTGGGGGCCTTGCACTTGCACGGGGCGTGGAGGAAGTCGATCCTGCGTGACCGTCCGTGCGCCCCGATGAAGGTGTCCCCGCTGACAAAGAAGGTGTCGTGGTTCGAGAGGAACCGTTGCCAAAGACGTCCAGAAAGGCCCGCCAGCTCCAGGAAGGGGCCCACGGCGCTGTCGGCCTCGCTCCACAAGTCGGGCTCGAGCAGGGACGGGGAGCCGAGAAACGTCTCGTCCACGGAGTCGCCGAGCTGAGGTCCGCCCCGCTGAAAGGCGTGCGTCGACTGCCCACAGACTCCAGCGTGGTGCGTGCCCACGAGATCATAGCTTGGGTCACCTGGCGGTATGAGTTGCGGCTGGAGCAGGACTCGGATGGCACGGAAAGGTGCCGAACCATGAGGAGCACATCCGAGGAGCGGCACTGTCGCGCCGCAGCGGCCCGAGAGCGCCGCGGGCGGAGGGTAGATCCGACGTAGGTGTGCCTGCGGAAACCGTTGATGTAGGAATATGCTCCCCCCGCAACTCTTGCTGGTCCAGCCGAAGGAGAGCTCCCACTGGCAGTCGTGCTGAAAGAGGCTGTGGCGGCCGTCCAGTGTCGGGCGGCGGCTCGTCCCAGGGAAGAGGATCACGCCCATGTAGTGCTCGCAGGTGATCTCCTGCGCGCGGGTGCTGCCCGTCAGGTAGAGAGGGTAGTACACGTAGAGCCTGGTGTGCAGAGCAGGTTGAGGCTCTCGCTCCTGAGTGCGTTCAGGGGCGCGGCAAGCGACAGTCGACATGTAGGCGGCCGCCCGCGGCGAGAAGCCGACGGCCGCGAGCAAGAGGAAAGCCTCCATCATGGGCCTCTTGGGCCCCGCGGGCGCGTGGGCATCGCGCGCTGCTCCCCTGGCGGGCGATGGAACAGGGTGGGAGGGCCGCGTGTCCCTCGACCTTCAGCCGTGGTGGCGGCTAGGAATAGGAGGAGGAGGAGGAGGAGGAGGAGGAGGAGGGGGAGGAGGAGGGGGAGAAGCAGGAGGAGGCACGGACGAGAGGGAAGGAAGGGAAGAGGAGGAGGAGGAGGAGGAGGAGGAGGAAGGGACAGGGGAGAAGGGCGCGAGCGAGGGAAGGCAGGAGCGGATGAGAAGGAGCAGCAGCAGCAGGAGGAGAAAGAGGAACAGCAGGAGGAAGAAGAGGAAGAGAAAAGAGAGGAGAAAGAAGAAGCAAGAGAGCCGTGTTTCTCAACGGGCACTGAAACGCCCACGTAGAGGGGGGCATCGCGCAACACCGAACCATGCGAACTGCATCGCACCATAATTAGTAGGCTGGATCAATGATCAGCCAGACCAGACAAGAGCACTCACGAAGAGCCCAATCAAAAACAGGGAAAAGGTCAGAGGATCGCATAACAGGGGAGAAATACCTACCCATGTGCTGGCAACCAAACTGGACCAAATTACACATCATAAAACTATCCGCTAAATCAGATCGGCACAAACGACACAACGCACATCCATATCGGATCCGACTATACGCGCCCGCAGAACAGCCATCACACCGGCCGAGGTGATAGAGCGCGAAGCCCTGCAAGAAAGCGAACGAGCCACCGGCCGCGGGATGGACTGGTGGTGATACGCGAAGTGTTTCGAACTGTTGACAAGGCCGTGGGTGCGTCAGCAATCTCAGCCTCAGAGGGTGTTTCGGGCCAGATGCCCAGGGTACGTCCCGCCCAAGACGACTCCAGGAGCCTCCAGGGGCCCTTCGGACGCCCCCCAGAGATCCGCACGGGCCCCCCGAAGACGCCCTGAAGCCACCCCCCAAAAAAGTGGCGGGATACGCCAGACGCCTTTAGACAATTCCACGCAAAACCCGGCCCTATCCTGACTGCACCATCTGCCATCCTAGCAACAGGTTGGCTCTATCCCTGGCGCTGGCTGGAAGTCTTGACTATGCTGTATACCGTGTTCCCAGAACTTGGACGCCGTGATGTGTCCGATCCATGGGCCCCCGCAGCGTTATCGACAACTCACAAGGCACTAATTCTTCATCCTGGGCCGCTTGACTCTCCCAGGGTCCAAACCAGGTCTCCCAGGGCCCAACACAACACGATTCGTGAGGCAAGGGGTCTGGGGAGCAAACCCGTGGAATCCCGCTGCGCACCAGCCAAGCCGCGTGCTTGGCGTAAAAGCGGTAGTCCGTCTCGAACAGGCCCAGCCGCAACAACTCCTGGGCAAACAAAAAGACAAATGACAAAACGGCCAAACAGACAGCGAGGCAAAGCCGCAGATTATTTTTCCCCATCCTCCTCCGTCTCCTCCGTCTCCTCCGTCTCCTCCGTCTCCTCCGTCTCCTCCTCCTCCTCCTCCTCCTCCTCCTCCTCGTCCTCCTCCTCTGCACAGCCTCCGCTCGCGGCCCCGCTCCCCGACGGAGTTGGATAGGGTCGGCTTTGTTCGCTGTGCGACACTTTCTCCGACCTTCTGTAGGGGGATACGGTCAACGCAACTCTCTCCCCCCCCTCTCGTCAATTTCGCAGCCAGTCCGACCATTTCCCTCCCAAGAGGGCCGTCCTCCGCCGCGATTCTGCGGGCACCCTTGGGGATGATGCCCTGTACAGCCTCCGTTTGAGGGGCAGCGCGGCCTCCCACTTGTGAGGCAGGAGAAGTTTAGCCTTAACGGCAGCCACTCCTGCCACGTTTCCCGCAAATCCTCTGCCTTTCGGCGAGCCTCGCATTGCATGAGAAAAAGGGTAACATTATATCTGCGGCCTTTCTGAGTAAACGGGGCAACACTACCTTGGGCCCGCCAGGCGCCGTCAGGAAAATCCCCAGCCGAAGGCTGAAATAGGAGCAGGGGCTAAGGCTAGCCAGCGTGATTTCGGTTATCGGACTGGCGACTAGGAGCAGACCATCGGGAGGGTCGGTGTCACCTTCCCGCTCCGCGCCTCTTTCCAGCCCGCTGCTCTCTGCCCTGATTCATGCCCCCCCTTCCCTCTCCTTCCTCCTTCTCCCGCCTTCACAGGCGAGATCAACCTCGCGGGGCTAATGGGCCTCCTACGGCGTCGGCTAGAGCCGCCCTTTCGCCAGACGGGACGCCCCACACAATTTGTGAACAGAACGCCCTCCGGGGAACAAATGTTCGCAAATTGTCCGGGGCCACCCGCCTGGCCAAGGGCGGGCGTGGGGCGAGGGACAAGCAAGGTGCGTTCGCGCCACATCTGACATCCTAGCCCTCCCTCGTTTGGAAAGTTTCGGGCGTGGAGGGAGAACAGTAATCATATTGAGTAAGTGTGGATGGGGTTCCCTTAGGGAGAAGAAGGTGCTGTGGAAGAGGACAGAGGAACCTCGATAGACCACCTGTCGCCCAGAATGTTGGTTGGACAATTGTCGTCGTCGCTCACCGTGGTTGCCCCGGCTCAAGCCCCGAGGACACGCCCACCCCCGCAGGTGGGGGATTAAGAGGACGAAGTGTGGCATAAACATAACATGTTCGAGATCCTCTCGGATCGGCGCTGGATCCCTGTCCGCCAAAAGTGGCGCCATTGTCGCCGCCAGGAGGTCCCAGCGCGGAACCGCGAAATCCGCGCGGGCCTCCCAGGTGTTTGTCTGTTTGTACCGTTCTTCGCCCCCCGGGCCAGTGGCTGGCCCTCCCCCGTTTCTTGTTCATCATGTTCTCGCCTTTCGCCCAACGCCTCGACCATGACTCATGAACGATCGACTGCCAACTGTCCGTAAGGGGCCAGACCGCACAGTGTTCCATGAAAGTGCCGGAAATCACCCTGCTGCACCTTGTGTTGTTGTCTGGATGGAGCGTTCCACGGGGGACCTTCGCGGACATGCGCAAAAACATAAAGTTTCTCCCTTCCACGGGAATGAACATTGAGAGGCTAGGCGCTGACTTCGCTTGGTGAACTGAGGAAAGATATCATCACCCGTGCGAGTTGTGGCGCCACCGTCGTATCAACATGGGCGACAACGATTCGCAGACGGACCGTGTTGTACGACTTCGCGCCTTCTTGTCAAATGGAAGGCGTTTGCGCTTCGCCTGGCGCCTGGGCCGTGCCGCTTTGAGCGTCAAAGGGCACTTCGCAGCAATCGAGCGCCGCTTCGCAGCCAAACCGCCAGGCAACAGCCTCAAGCCCAGTGGCCTGCTCGGCCTCCTCTTGGCCGCGGTTGCGGACACCTCGCGGGACGGCCTATCCTCATCGTCGGTTACTGAACGTTTGCGCATGGCTGGCACATCCGACGACGCACGGGGTAAGTTGCGCCAATCAATAGAAACGGCCAGCCTGGTTGGCGAGGGCCGGATTTGGAAGCGGAAAGTCCTCACTATTACTTTTAAGAAGCAAGAGCGAAAAGAAACAACCCTTTTGGTAACGTGCTGTTATTCTGTTGCGCGACAACAGCGGTGGCGCGTCCGAAGTGCCGAGCCTCGTCCTGCGCTTGCGCCCTGAATCTCCTGTCACAGAGCATGTGCAACTCGCTGAACGCGTGCCCAAGGATCGCCGCGACCGGATGCAACGCGACCCTGGCTACTCGACAAAATTCATCGCGGGGTAACCCGGCAGGGGCCCCCCGCCCCCCGGCCGGGCCCTGGCCCGTAACACCACTGCACCCCCGGGGCTGTGCTGAAACAGATCGCGGACTTTACTAAACCGAAGTCACTGCTTCACTGAAGCGAACAACCTGCTTTACGAAAGCGAAGAAGCGGCTCTACTTAAGCGAAGAAACAGTTTTAGCAAAGGCGCGAGGTACAAAAAACGTACGTTTTACTAAAGCGAAAGGAGAGCTTTAGTAAAGCGCAAGGACGGCTGGGGTAAAACTGCGCGCAGAAATTGCGCCGCCCCCATAAACTTAGCCCGGGACTCCAGAAGCGAGGGCGGGCGCAAATTCGCCCGTGGGCCCGGGCCCCGTTGCCGCCGTCGCCGCGGCGTTCGTCGTCGCCGCCGTCGCCGCTGCCGCCGTCGACGTCGCGGTCGGCGCAGGCGCCGCCGTCGTCGTCGCCGTCGCCGCGACGCCCGCGCATCCACATTGCGACCGAGCACGCCGCTGCGCTCGCCTTTCTGGTCGTCCGACGGGGGCCCAGGTGGACGTCGGGCGTTTTTCTTCCACCCACAACTCGTTTAAAGTAACGCTGGGAAAATGTGCCTCTGTTAGGCGGCGCGTCGGACGTGGCTCTTCGTAGCCCGCAGGCACGGCGTGCTCACCAGTAATAACGCCCGCCTCTGCTGGCGAGCTGGCTGCAGCCGGCCAGGCAGCCACTCCAGCGGCGCGCGCCTCGGCCCTGGGGCCAGGAGGGGGATCAACAGATCCACTCTCAGAAGCAGCACCTGCCAGAGAGATGCGCCCAGGATGGGGGGGCTGGAAAACCCGTGGGCCCAGGGCAGGCCCCGGGCGAACCAGTTCCGCCAGCTGCTGCGCGAGGCGCGCTTCCAGCAACTGCTGGACTGTCTGCGGGCGGTGGCCGGGGTAGCGGCCAGACGCGCGGCCCTGAAGGCCGATGTGGCCATGGAGCACTACTGCTGCGAGGTGGGCAAGCCCTACGACTGCAGGGCTGCAAGCCGGGGCAAGGGAAATCGCGCTGGCGGCGCAGCCACACGCGGGATCAGCACACACGGGCGGCACGCCAAGTCGGGGGTCGAAGGCGCAGCCGGCGACGCAGAGGACGAGGGAACTTCGTATACACTTCAGCATTTGCGCTCGTTTGCGCCGCGCCCGTCTTTGGACCAGTCGGCCTCGCCTTCGGGCTTGCTGATGCATGATCTTGATGTGCCCTGGGAATTGTTTTATCAATGAGCCCGGTGGCTTGGCCACCTGGCCCGCAGCCGGCAACGGCGCAAACGAGTGCGAACGCTTAAACCAATCCCGGAGAAGAGCCAGACGGACAATAGGAAGAAAAGCCAGAGGTCCCCAGCAACGTCGCTCACGCGCCCGCCGAAGTGGACGCGGGCGAAGACGACGACGACCGGAGCGAGGCGCCCTCCGCAGAAGAAGGTCGGCCGCCTGCTCGCGGGGCCGCGCGCGGCAGGGCGGGCCCCGCTGCAAGGGCGGATCCTGGCGGAAGGGCTGGCCCCGAGGCCCGGATGGGCCCCGAGCCCCAGGTAGCACTGAGACTGGGATTGGGGCCTAGGCGCGGCCTCGGCTTCGGGCCCAGGCGGAGCCCGCAGGAGGCCCGTCCGTCCGATTCTGCCCCGCCTCGAGACAGCGGCAATCGGCTTGCAACAATTGGTTTCCGAATTACTCAACTGCATGCCTCTCCCCTCTGCCCCCCTCCTTCCTCTCCATCCGTCTCCTGCGCCCTCCAGCCCGAATCGCCCGCGCCGACGTTTTGCCCCGCCCGCCCCCGTTCGCAACGCGTTCGCCGCTGCTCGCCGGCACCTCCCCCGCCAATCTCGGGGCAGGGCAGGTTTGTTCAGCCGTTGCTGCGACCGCTGGAAGGCGGGTTCGTTCAGTCGCCGAGGGTTGCTAGCCCGGGCTGGCCCATCAGGCAACCCCCGCAACAGGCCGCGAGTTGGGGCCCCCCCAAGCAAAGGGTGCCCCCCATAAGCAATTCCTCGGTCTCTCGGCGTTTACTGTTCCACCGAATAACTGCCAATGGCGGCCCGCTCGCAGACCTGGAAGAAAGGTCAGCGACCCCCCCTCCTCCTTCACCTCCTGCTCGGCCGCGGAACTTCCAGAAATTCCACCGGCGGCAAGCGCGCCTTAATTTCCCGCCCCATGGCAATTCTCGAATGACTGAGCGGTTGGACTTCACGGCTCTGCGGGGGCGCTCTACGCCGCGCGGGCCACCCCATGCTGGGCTCTTCGCAATGGCGGCCCTCTGGGCGAGCACAGTCCCAGTCAAGTGGCTCTGGGATGGAATAGCCGCCCCCACCCAGCACCCCCCTGCTGATGCACGGCCACCGCGCCCATGGAGGAACAACAGCGTCCTTGCCAGTAGCAGGCGTCTTGAGATGCGCGCTCTGGAACAGGGTCCACCTGTGCCCCTGCTTCTTGGCCTTCTCCTGATTGCAGGGATTACGTTGCCCCGGTAGCTCGTCGTCTGGAGACGTTGGCTGCCGAGCAAAGACCGCCATGATGATGCGCTGCGCAGCGCGGTCTTTCCTTAGAGGCCATTCTCTCTACGAGAGCCGCTGCCATATTCACCGGCGTCTTTCCATCTGTTCTGTGCCCGCGCCTGCGCCCGGTCGGTAGCATGGCCCGCCCATTTCCCCCCTGTGCTCTGCGCAG